CTGCGGGGAACGGAGGGGAGGTAGGAGACACGGGACTTCTACTGCGGGGAACGGAGGGGAGGTAGGAGACACGGGACTTCTATTACAGGGAACGGAGGGGAGGTAGGAGACACGGGACTTCTATTACAGGGGAATGGAGGGGAGGTAGGAGACACGGGTACTTCTACTCTGCAGAGGATGGAGGGGAGGTAGGAGACACGGGGACGTCTACTACAGGGAACGGAGGGGAGGTAGGAGACACGGGACTTCTATTACAGGGGAATGGAGGGGAGGTAGGAGACACGGGACTTCTAATTACAGGGAATGGAGGCGAAGGTAGGAGACACGGGACTTCTATTACAGGGAATGGAGGGGAGGTAGGAGACACGGGACACTGGAGTAGAATACTTCTCTGGGGTCCTGCTTAGAATCTCCAATCAGCTGACTGAAGTGTCACCAAGCAGCATCAGAGGTCTCTGATGGACCTCAGCGGGTCTCCAATGGACCACCGTAGAGTCTAAATAAAGTTTGGAGCGGTTCCCTGAGGTGGGCGTCTTAGAGCTACTTAAACAGCTGATTGGAGGAGAGTCCGAGCAGGACACGCCCACCCGCCTACCAGATGCTCACTCACCCGGCTCAATGTAGAGACCCTCCTGTTCTCCGTCCAGCGAGCAGTGATGGCCGATGGTATTAGAGGCCACTTGTTCCTCCAATGGGGTGAGCTTAGTGTCTATGATTGGGCTGACCCCAGGAGCCGTGGGCACCTTGTTGGCGGTTCTGCGATGGGTGATCTTCCTCTTCACCTCCAGGCGGAGGTCCCGCCACTTGTGTTTGAGGTCGTCGATGCTGCGGGGGGGTGTAGCCGAGGTCGTTGACGTGTTTCTGGATCTGGTTCCACAGCTGGCTCCGCCTCTGGTTCCTGCGGGTGGACTCGGTACGGAGCGCCTCCGAGCCGTAGAGGGCGCTGAAATGTTTGACCACGTACCTCACCAGCGTCTCCGTCTCCTCGTTGGAGAAATTGGCTTTCCGTTTCCTGCCGGTGAAGGGACTCGGGCCCAGCGGCTGCAGCAACAGAGCGTCCTTCACCTGGAGGGCGGGTGATGGGTGGGGGAGGTGACGGGGGTGGTGATGGTGGGGGTGGAGACCGGTACTGTGGTCACTAGTGTCAATGTGGCTGCCGTGGTCACCGGCATAGGGGGGGTCTCCACGGGTTCTGGCATAGGCTCCTCTTTCGGGGACCACCTTGATATCCAACTTTGGTGAGTCCGAGGGGGGGAACGGTCTGAGAAGAGGTGGTCTCGGAGGTGGTCTCGGTGGTGGTGGTGGTGCTGGTGGCTTCAGACTCCACCATGGCAGAGTTCTCCTGGCGAACCACGGCTCGGGTGCCGATTCTACGGGTGGGAACGGTTCCTCAGACATGGAGGCAGCTGGGGGGGGGAGGGGGGGGGGTAATCACACACTCACCATGACAATCAGATCTGCCGGAAAAAGGAAACGACATACAATCAGACTATAGAAGAGTGCAACCAACCATGGGGGGGGGGGTGCACAACCGGGGGCTGGGGACCACTGTACTAGGGAAGTGAAAGTGGGGGGCCCCGACAGTAGGGTGAGGAGGCATCCAATGGGTTAGGGGGGAGGGGAAAGGTAAGAGGAATCCATTCTGTCAGTTGGGGGGGGGCCATCACACATGCAGATTGCCTCCAACGGTTTTGTGGTCTCCGGAGGCTCCGGGATCCGGCACATCCTCCGGGGGTCAGCTTTAATGGTTTCTTAGTTTTGGCTGGGGAGGGGGCGGGTGCATGGGGGGCATGTGGGGGGAGGGGCGGGCAGGGAAGGAGGTGGGGTGGGGCATGTGGGGGGGAGGGGAGTGGGCAGGGGACGGCGGGTCACATGGGGGGAGGGGGAGGGCAGGGGACGGCGGGTCCACATGGGGGGAGGGCACGTTGGGGGTGGTCACATTGGGGGGAGGGGAGGTCATATGGTCAGGACTCCTGTCTCCGGACACATGGTTCCCATGCCAACAGAGTAGTGGGCGGAGTCCCTCCATAGAGTTCCCACATTCTCTAGAATCGGGAACCTCCAACAGCGACCAGACGCCCCGCCTACCCCAGAAGTAGAACTAAAGCCTGATTGGATGCCACCGCTCCTCCTCATTCCCAGCACTGACACCGGATCCCCAGTGTGTAAGGCATGCCTAGTGATCCCCCCCCCCAGTGTACTACGGCATGCCTAGTGTATATCCACCCCCCCCACGGCATCATCATTACCTTCACCCCCCCCCCATGTGTACGGCATGCCTAGTGTGATTCCCCCCCCCCAGTGTACGGCCATTATGTTGATCCCCCGGCATGCCTAGTGATTTCCCCCCACCAGTGTACGGCTATGCCTAGTGATCCCCCCCCAGTTGCTGCCCCCCTACCACCCAGTGTTGTACGGCATTTGCCTAGTGATTCCCCCCCCCAGTGTACGGCATGCATCATGCCTAGTGATTCCCCCCCCCCAGTTGTGTACGGCATTGCCTAGTGATCCCCCCCCCCAGTGTGTACGGCATGCCTAGTGTACGGCATGCCTAGTGATCCCCCCCCCCAGTGTACACGGATTATCCCCATGCCTAGTGATCCCCCCCCCCCAGTGTACGGCATGCCTAGTGATCCCCGCCCCCCCCCCAGTGTACGGCATGCCATAGCCTAGTGATCCCCACCCCCAGTGTACGGCATGCTAGTGATCCCCCCCCAGTGTACGGCAATGCCTAGTGATCCCCCCCCAGTGTGTACGGCATGCCTAGTGATTCCCCCCCAGGTGTACGGGCATGCCTAGTGATTCCCCCCCTCCCCGTGTACGGCATGCCTAGTGATCCCCCCCCCCAGTGTACGGCATGCCTAGTGATTCCCCCCCTCCCCGTGTACGGCATGCCTAGTGATCCCCCCCCAGTGTACGGCATGCCTAGTGATCCCCCCCCCAGTGTACGACATGCCTAGTGATTCCCCCCCCCCCCCCCCAGTGTACGACATGCCTAGTGATCCCCCCCCAGTGTAAGGCATGCCTAGTGATCTCCCCCCCCCCCATGGTTGCACGGATCTGATTGGACAATTACACACCCCACCAGCAGACATGGCCGGCCCCTCCCCCCACAGATCGCTCCTCGGGCTCCGCACACGTGTGGTTGGTGGTCCCCGGAAGAGCTCCCCGCTGTGGCCCCTCCCCCCTCTCACTCACCCAGGCTCCGGTCGGTTGGTGTTTTCCGGATCGGCGGACGGAGAAGCGGTCAGTCATGCAGCGTGCAGCAGCTAATGGCTCCCGACCCCGAGCAACGCGTCACTTCCGGTCCCGCCCCCACCAACAACTCCCGCCACTGCAGCGCCGCCTGCTCTCTGCTGACACCTAATGGCCACACTTGGTAGTACAGCGCAGTCTCGCTATTACTGCTGACATCTAGGGGCCGCGCCCGGTACTACAAGCGTAGCTGGAATCCTCATTTCCTATCATTAGTGCAGCCTGGACCCCTCACCTTGAGCCAGGACCCCTCAATCTGACCCAGGACCCCCAGGACCCCTCACTCTGACTTTAATGCTGATAGGTGGGGGAGTGCGATCAATTAATTACTCTGCCCACAACTGATATTCCAACGTAGGGGGGATGGGGGAGAGCGGGACCACCTTCTGATTATACACTATATTGCCCCAAGTATCGGGCCGCCGACCTCTCCCACACACATGACCTTTAATGGCCCCCCAGTCTTAGTCCGTAGGGTTCAATATTGAGTTGGCCCCGCCCTTTCCCCGCACATGACCTTTAATGGCCCCCCAGTCTTAGTCCGTAGGGTTCAATATTGAGTTGGCCCCGCCCTTTCCACACATGACCTTTAATGGCCCCCCAGTCTTAGTCCGTAGGGTTCAATATTGAGTTGGCCCCGCCCTTTGCAGCTAGAACAGCTTCAACTCTTCTGGGAAGGCCGTCCACAAGGTTTAGGAGGGTGTCTATGGGAAGGTTGGACCATTCTTCCAGAAGCACATTTGACAGGTCAGGCACTGATGTCGGGGGAGGAGGTCTGGCTCGCAGTCTCCGCTCTAATTCATCCCAAAGGTGTTCTATGGGGTTGAGGTCAGGACTCTGTGCAGGACAGTCAAGTTCCTCCACCCCAAACTGGCTCCTCCATGTCTTTATGGACCTTGCTTTGTGCACTGGGGGGCAGTCATGTTGGAACAGGAAGGGGCCATCCCCAAACTCCTCCCACAAAGTTGGGAGCATGAAATTGTCCAAAATGTCACCTTAAGAGTTCTCTTCACTGGAACTAGGAGGCCAAGCCCAACCCCTGAGGGACACCCCTCCACCAAACTTTCACCAAACTTTTACACTTGGCACAATGCAGTCAGGCAAGTACCGTTCTCCTGGCCACCACCAAACCCAGACACGTCCATCGGATTGCCAGACAGAGACGTTTTATTAGTCCCTCTAGAAAACACGTCTCCAGTGCTCTAGAGTCCAGTGGCGGCGTGCTTTACACCACGGCATCCGACGCTTTGCATTGCACTTGGTGATGGAAGGCTTGGATGCAGCTGCTCGGCTATGGAAACCCATTCCATGAAGCTCTCTACACACTGTTGTTGGGCTCATCTGAAGGCCACACCAAGTTTGGAGGTCTTTAGCTATTGACTCTGCAGACAGTTGGTGACTTCTGCGCACTGTGCGCTTCAGCATGCGCTGACCCCGCCCTGTCATGTGACATGGCCTACCACTTGGTGGCTGAGTGGCTGTTGTTCCCAGTGGCTTCCACTTTGTTATAATCCCACTAACAGTTGAGCGTGGAATATTTAGTAGCCAGGAAATGTCACGGATGGACTTATTGCCCAGGTGGCCACCTATCACGGGACCACGCTTGGAGTCACTGAGCTCCTGAGAGCGACCCATTCTTTCACCAATGTTTGTAGAAGCCGCCTGCATGTCTAGGGGCTTGATTGTATACACCTGTGTCCATGGAGGGGATTGGAAACCCCCTGAATCACATGATATGGAGGGGATTGGAACACCTGAATCACATGATTTGGAGGGGATTGGAACACCTGAATCACATGATATGGAGGGGATTGGAACACCTGAATCACATGATATGGAGGGGATTGGAACACCTGAATCACATGATTTGGAGGGGATTGGAACACCTGAATCACGTGATTTGGAGGGGATTGGAACACCTGAATCACATGATTTGGAGGGGATTGGAACACCTGAATCACGTGATTTGGAGGGGATTGGAACATCTGAATCACGATTGGAGGGGATTGGGAACACCTGAATCACGTGATTTGGAGGGGATTGGAACATCTGAATCACATGATTTGGAGGGGATTGGGACACCTGAATCACATGATTGGGAGGGAATCACATGATTGGGAGGGGATTGGAACACCTGAATCACATGATTTGGAGGACGGGGACAATACTTTTGGCAATATAGTGTATCTCTCAGCCAGAGTTCCTCCAGAGGTTATCGGGGGCTCTATGAGTGGAGAGAGATTGATCCCCGGCCTGCTACTGTCACTCAGCAAAGCCGGAAACGGAGATCAGTGGGGCCCCTCATCTTTCAGGTAAAGGTGGGGGTCCCCTTCTTACTGTCCACCATTGGAGGGTCCTCGCCACCATCCAACAACAGCTACCTAAATCCAACTCCGGGATAAAAGGCACTCCCCTCCCCCCCATCTGATTATCCACTTTAATCCTGGAGCCATTATTCATTTTTGGTTTACCTGTTTAGAAATTCATTTTAGTCCTGAAGATTACCGCCCCCCCCCCCCCCCCCCAAAGGTTACACATTTCGCAGACACCCCGGAGAATACAATGGTGGTACTTCCAATTCTTTTATGTCACGGTTTATGAAACGCAAACGTTCATTAAAAAAAAAAACTCTGAAGTTAATTTTAGGGCACACTGACACCACAGACTACCCAATTCTGGCAAACTATAAAAGATGAGGTTTTACCGAGTACATAGATACCAAACAGGTCAAGCTTTAAAATCAGTGGGAGAGGCAGTTGCCCTGGGCACAGTGTGGGAGGGGGCGCCAGGCTGGGAGCATGCTGATGAGTCTGAGCTCGAGCTGTTGATCACGCCAAACCTCAGCTGCTGTTGTTGCTAAAGCCGGCCTAAAAGCAGAGCCTAGAATGGGGCCCCGTCTGTTGCCGGCTTTCTGTCCGGGGCAGGAGCCACAACTATGTCCAGAAAGCAGAAACACTCTCCGCCGGGCCCAGGATCTTGTCAAGCTCGCCGGCTGGATCATGGCTTCAGTAGAGGTGGATGGGGCAAGTAGGAGGACATCACCCCCAGCCATCATCGTTTCCTGCCCGGCAGACGGATGACAGACCGGAGCTCCTCCTGCGTGTCCTCACCTGTTCTGCCTTTTGCCCTACCATCATCATCACCACCACCACCACCATCATCATCACACACCACCACAACCCCACCACCACCACCACCACCACCACCATCACACCACCACCACCACCACATCATCATCATCATCATCATCACCACTACCATCATCATCATCACCCCATCCACCCACACCACCACCACCACCCATCATCACCACCACCATCATCAATCACCACCCCACCACCATCATCATCATCATCATCATCACCACCACCCATCATCATCATCATCATCAATCCACCACCATCATCATCATCACCACACCATCCCATCACCATCATCATCATCACCCACCCACCATCATCATCATCATCACCACCACCACCATCACCACCACCACCACCACCACATCATCCCCCCCACCATCATCACAATCATCACCACCACCACCACCATCACCACCACCACCACCATCATCAATCACCACCACCACCACCACCACCATCATCATCACCACCACCACCCCCCCATCATCATCATCATCACCACCCCACCATCAATCATCACCACCACCATCATCATCATCACCACCACCACCACCACCCACCACCAACATCAATCATCATCCACCACCCACCACCACCATCATCCCCCATCATCACCACCACCACCACCACCATCACCACCACCACCATCATCATCATCATCACCACCACCATGATCATCATCACCACCACCACAATCATCATCATCATCATCATTCTCATCATCATCATCACCATCACCATCACCCACCACTCCAAAACCTGAGGAACCCGCTGGTTTTCATGCAAACTATCAGGCTCCATTCACACCAATGCGCTTTTTTAGTGCTTTTAGCAGCAAAGCATTACAGTCCCATTAACCCCTCCCCCCCACCAGAGGATTTAACCCTCCCTCCCCCTCTAGAGGATCCCCCCCCCCCCCCCCCCCTTCCTGACCAGGCCATTTTTTGCATTACGGTGCTGCCTTACGTTTACTGACAATTGCGCTGTCATGCAACGCTGCACCCAGATGAAATTTACGTCTACCCTTGCTGCGCTGGAGGGAGATCGCTTCTTACACTCACCTGTGTCCTTGCTGCAGCCAGCTCCAGCGCTTCCTTCCCCAGCCAAGCCCTCATCATCACCACCATCATCCTCTCCATCATCACTACCATCATCATCACCAACCATCATCATCATCACCAGCACCGTATTGCAAAAAATGGCCTGGTCAGGAAGGGCGGGGTAAATCCTTAGGAGGGGGAGGGGTTAAAGACAGCAGGGGTCCCATCAATATTCTGAAGGGGCCAGACATCCGGAAAAGCCTTACTGGTTCCGGGGGATGTTGAGTCCTTATATACAAACATTAAACTAGACGCCTTATATGCAGCTGAAGGGGCACTCCATAGATATTCGGAGGTACCCCCCCCCCCCCCCTCCTCCACTACAGCTTTTGGAAATGGCCGACAATTACTTCCAGTTTAATGGTGATTTTTGTTTTTCTTTTTAAATCAAATCAAAGGGGTGGCAATGGGGGCGAGCTCCGCCCCGAACATCGCCAATATCTTCCTCAACAAGTGGGAAGAACAGGAGATTTTCTCTTTGAAAACAAACCACAATTAAAAAAGGTACAGAAGGTATACAGACGACACTTCCATGGACGACACTTCCATGGTTTGGGGGGGACTGGCAAGGACTGGAGATGTTTCTGACATCTATAAAGAATAACATACGAGGTATCACATTCACAAGCACCATATGTAAGGAGGCCGTCCAGTTTTGGGATTTAGAAGTCTTCAACAATGGGACAGGCCTGGCTCCGGATATCGTGACACTGTTTTGCTACCCATCTCCGGACCCTTGTCCCGTGGTCCTCCCGGAGTCCCCGTAATAAATGGACCGAGATGGAATCGTTGCAACTTGGTTTAACACATCCCGGTTCTCTCCTCTGGTCTATGACTGACGCTCCCTGCTTGGACCCATGCTTTTTTTATCTGTATGGAAGAGGTGTGAGGTTCGATTCACCCTGGCTTCCAAGTGTTCCCCCCTGACTAATATTCATTTTCGATCCAACCTCCCAGATAGTTTGGCCTTGGCTCGTTGGAGACCTTGCGTTGCGGCCAACCTTTTCCAGTTGCAACACTTGGTCAATCCAGTGACTCGGAAGTTAAAATCTTTCTCAGACATTCAAACGGCCATTCGTCTGCCACCCCAAAAGTTTTTTTTTGTTTATTTACAGATGCGTCATTTTTTTTCCTCCTCTAAATTCCCTTCTTTGACCCTCCAGAAGCCTACCCCTTTTGAGCGTATGCGTATTCATATACCAACGGGGTATAATATCTGCTACATATAAATTACTTTTGGATGCCTGCCCCCTTACTGTCGACATTCACCTTTATATGCGTAAATGGCCCAAGTTCCTCCAACGCCATATCGGTTTGGACCCATGGGCACAGGATTTGGGAGGCAACTTCTGAATCTTCTATGTGTAGTAGAGGACGCCCGAGGTTCTCCACGCTCGTAACCCGAAAGCTTCTCCTGGCTGCCGGTGTTGTGGGAAGGAAACTGGCACTCTTTTCCACATTTTTTGGGAATGGCGATCCATTACGCCCTTTTGGGAAGAGGTTCTCACCCTGCTACGGTGGCGTTTGCGGGCTCCCATTCACTTTGAGCCCATTCACTTTTTACTGGGCCTGCCTGTTTTGGGCCTCTCCAAGCAGGCATGGAAGCTTTCCACCCACGTTTGACGGCAGCCAGGAGAACCTATGGCGCTGGATCTCTTCTACACCCCCACGTTACTGACATTGATGAACATTATAGCAGAAATTAGGAAGATGGAATACCTAACTGGGCAGTGATATGTGGCACTGATGGGCACTGGTATGTGGCATTGATGGGCACTGGTAGGCACCGATGTGACATTGATGGGCATTAGTGGGCACTGGTATGTGGCATTGATGGGCATTGGTGGGCACTGGTATGTGGCATTGATGGGCACTGATATGTGACATGATGGGCACTGTAGGCACCGATGTGGCATTGATGGGCATTAGTGGGCACTGGTATGTGGCATTGGTGGGCACTGGTATGTGGCATTGGTGGGCACTGGTATGGCATGATGGCATTGATGGGCATTGGTGGGCATTGGTACTGGTATGTGACATTGTGGGCACAGACATTGGTGGGCACTGGTATGTGGCAGTGTGGGCACTGGTATGTGGCATTGATGGGCAGCGATATGTGACACTGATGGGTCTACACTGATCATCGGTGGCCTGATGATCAGTGTAGATGTCCCCTCTGAGGAATGCTGCTTACCGGTTCTCCTCCCGTGCTGTCAGCGTGAGGAGAGGACCGCCAATAACCGGCATTTCCTTATTTACATGTGATCAGCTGTGACTGGACACAGCTGATCACATGATAGAGCCGGAGTCATCCCAGGTACACAGCACACCACCGATCGCTGCGCACCCCCGGGGGTGCGGGTGGACGTCGTATGATGTCCTCCCAGAATGGGAGAACCGTGGCCCCCCACCCGTCATTCCCCTATATGGCGGGAGGGAGCAGTTAAAGGATACTGACAGAATTGGCTACATTTCTGTCCGAAGTTGACGTCACTCAAGGTGGTTGGAGGCAATCTCCAAAGTCCAATTTATGAGAATTGGACGCAATTGTGACAGAAGGGAAGATTTTGCAGCACAATCTGACAAAATGGATTCATCGAGTTCTGGAAAAATTATATAAGAAATTAGAATCAGAGAGGACCGGGGATCAGGTGAGGAATACGGACCGGGAACCCGGTGAGGAATACGGACCGGAAACCCGGTGAGGAATACGGACCGGGAACCCGGTGAGGAATACGGACCGGGAACCCGGTGAGGAATACGGACCGGGAACCCGGTGAGGAATACGGACCGGGAACCCGGTGAGGAATACGGACCGGGAACCCGGTGAGGAATACGGACC